AAGAAGCATGCTACAGCACTGTCTTCGTGCAGCAGCAGACTAGCACTCTCAGTGAATTTGTTGCTCCTCGTGCTTTGCCAGACTGTGGCAAAACTGATTTACCAGTTCACCTATTTTTTTTCATTGCAATTGTATAGAAGTTTGAATAGTGACTAAATGGTTAGTTCTCATGGCAGCTAGTGGGAAAGGCATGGTAAAATTTTCAGGAAAAAAAACCTTCACCAAAACCTTCTTGACTTCACAAGGCTCTTGAGAATGAGCCTCTGTTCCCTCTTAGAATGCAGAGGACCCTAATTTCTTAGTTGACTGAGGATGCATCAGAGGCTAGTAGAAAAAAAAAAACACGTTTGGAGAGTCAGAGCAATGCAGTGGGGCCGGTGGCCTCACTCTTCCCCTCTGTTGCCTGAGGAACAGGTGAAAATTCTATTTCCACTGTTAGTGTTAAAATACTGATATGACTTCTCTGGTTCAAGGCTTTCCAAAACAAGCTCAATTCAACGTGTTCAATTGACACATCTTAGAACGGAGCTTTGGAGACTTATTTTAGCGTTGTGATTTAAATTTGTTGTATTAAAAGTATTTTTTTGAATAAGTAATTTTCCCTCTACTGTTGCCTTTGTTTCCCCATGTGAGTATGGAAACTAATGAGATTTTCTTTCCTTTAAAATTCTCTTAAATCCAGTCATGAGACATATTGTGGTAGAAACACGTGTTTATATAACACACAGCTTTTAAATAGCTTAACAAGTCCAATACCTGACAGAACTGTGACCGTGCATGAAAGGTATCAGCCTGTACAGGGAAAAAAGATAAATAAAGTCAACCCTAAATGGAAGCTCTTTCACATCTTAACTATATGATAATTATAATCAATCACTAAAACCTTTTTTCTGTATAATCTCACTTTTTTTTTTTTTTTTCATACCCAGTTTGCTCAGTGATACTGTAATTTCAGCATTTATAGTGTTACCTGATTTTTTGTTGTTGTTGCTTGTTAGGATATTGCAACAGTGACAGCAGGGAGTGAATAAAGAAGGTCTGCAGGTTACTTCTTAATGCTCATATCAAGCCTTCTCTCAGGGAAGTGATGAAACCCATATAATTTAAGTTATTTATAATGTGACGACAAAAATTTGGAAAAGAGGTGACGATACAGTACAGTAAGAATTTTTCTTGTCTAATTTCTATTGCTGTATTTCAGCTACACCTTGTTCTATCTTTTTGCAGTTCAGAGTCCAGTTTAGGAACAAATGTGATCTTTGTTTTGTGCAAAAAAGATGTGTGTGTTTATATATGTCTATTTATTTTTTTAGTACATACAGATAGATACATAATGTAAATGTATAAGTTATTCATTACTGTGATGCTCTGGTGCATGATATTTCACACTAGCATTTACTACCAGTCTTCAAATAACTTTTATTTATTATTTTTCTGTAAGTGGCTCACATTGACTCCAAGTTACAAGTTTGGCAGAGCACACAAATTCATTAGTGAGAGGTCAGGTGTGCAAAAACCTTGAAATTTCAAAATGAGTCCCTGACCTAGCTTTTGAAAAGGTTAGAAACAAGATATTTTGAGTAGATGTTTATGTCCCCACTTTGGTATAAGTTAAACAGTCGTCAGTTATTTTGTAAGTCAGGGATGAATTTCTGGTGTCATTTTTTCCAATTTTCTCTTTCATGGTTGTGATTAAAAAGCCTTCTACTCTTATGTTATTTTCTATTATTTGAATTCAATAACTTTATATTTTTTTGATACATGAAAATAATTAGATGACGACTGGATAAATAATGCTCTGAAAACAGAGCAGAGCTGAGTAAATAACAGATGAAAATTACCTTTTTAGTGTAATAAGTCTGAAAAAATTTTTCTATCCAGGTAAGGTCCTGAGCTAAACTTCTCTTTTTAGCCCTTTTCTCAGGGAAGAGAAGTTGTCTTGTGCAGAATGAAACCGAAATAGCAACAGGGAAAAATGCAGTTGCTCTTTGCACCTTTTCAGTAGCAGAAACAAGAAAATCGAGGAGTAACAGAAACAAATGTCTTGGTGTTGGAGCAATTTTTAGCACTGATGGTGTGTGTACAAGAGGAGACTCCTATGGGCTGTGAGACCAAAATCTAGCACAGTGATGATAAGATGTTGTAACAAACAGCAAAAGGCCACCAATACTGTTGTGTTCATATTCCTCTGTCAGATGGAGCAGCTGCTACACACATCTCCCAGAGTAGCAGCTTAGTAAATGCACTGAATTGTGGTTTGAATTGCTCGTCCTTGCCTCTCTAGGGAAATGAGTTAAGGATGTGTAGAGGAACAATGCAAGTAATTTTTTTTTTCTCAGGAAGAAGTAGCTTAATTCAAGCCAGTGTTGAAAAACAGATAAAATATGGCTCAGGCTGTTATCATGTGCAGAGATATTTGAGGTAGTAGTCTGTATATCAGTGGAAATTCAGTCTGAAAATAGTGTTTATTAATCCAAATGTGTTAGACTTGAAAAATTAAGCATTAGGAAGATAAGAGATTATCTATCCTGGATGATAATGGCAAGCTTGGTAAATGCCAAAAATGCAGATGGAAACGCAACTCTGTGGGAACAGACAGCACACGCAGCGGGGCATGGCAGGAGAGAGAGCAGCCAGGAGAACACCAACAGAAGAGACCTAGAGAGACAAAAAATTTTCTCTTTGAAAAAATCTGAGAAAAGTAATGTAGAATTAAAATTCGGGAGGAAGAGAATACCTTCTCCCTTTTAGATCTGCAAAGTAAAATTAACATGTTTCTCCCTCAGTATAGAGGTCAGTTACAGAGCTTTAGTCAGATGGTGGGGTTTGATAGACATCATCTAAGTCTGAAGTGTAAATACATGAAAAGCGTATGCATAATTCTCACAATATATAAATTGGGTTTTCTGTTAGGTGGTTTGTTTGGGTGGGGGTTTTTTTCAAAACTTTTCTTCTTCTACCAGATGAAGTGTCTACATGCCCATAGGCACTGCAGAACTAATGTACTTTCTTTCTGATTTTAGTGAGTTTTATTTGCCCTTAGGATTTCTGTAGAGTAGGCATATTTGAATTAAAACAATATGATCATAGTGGTATAAGTGAACAGAAGTGTTAGTATGGCGCCTATAGCTATAAAGGTTATTTTGTGGTGACACACTTTTCCTAGCATACAATAACAAAACCACAATTTAAGCATTAAATTCACTTTGGAGGAAGAGGAAATACTAAAAATCTTTGTATGTTGCAGTAGTTGCCCACTTGCTACTGTTGCTGGGGATGTAGCTGTTTCTGGGGATGTAGCATAGCTCTGCAAATACCCTGAAACAGTTTAGGATAAGTTTGAGAATAACTTGTAGTGAGGAAGTAGAATGAAAATACCAAAGTGCACAAGGATACCTGGGTTTGTCCAAAGTATGCTGGGTCAGAGAATAACTATAAGGGATTCATGTAACGTGTACTCCAGAAAACATGCCAGAGCAGTATTTAAATTGTGCTTTTTATTTCTCTAAAACTATTTTATTTTGTTTTATTGGGGGGCCCCAGTTTTACAAGCGTTATAAAGGCCTAACTATGCCATGATGGTATCCATCTGAAGCACATCAGGAACTCTATCCTTGCTATGTGAACTTTATTTTTTTAATGTTGCTTATATTTAAGAGTGGATATTACTTCTGTCCCAGCTTGGGAAGTGTTTCCTTCAGATGATATGTAATAGCTTTTTCTTTTTTTCTGTATAATTTTATCAATTTTGTTTAAAAATTTGATTTCTAATCCACTGAGAATTGATAACATCTATTCCTTTTTATTGCAGTCTAGCTTGTTAATTTGATAAAGAGTCTGTCAGCATTTCTTTTGCATATTTTGTTCCTTTGTGTGCTTTAAAAAACTCTTGCTACACTGTACATTATTCAGCCATTTGTGGCTTGAAACATTGCCTAAATGCTAGCTTGTGTTTCCCCATTTTCAGGCCGTAGCTTTTTATGTCTGACAACTCAAGTCTTGCAGCAATAACATCAAGTTCCTGCTATGCTTAGAAAAACACCACCCATTTAAAAATATCATCTGCCACCATTTTATTGCACAATGGATAGATCTACTTTGGAGGGTTGCAATGTTTTGTTTGACTCACTAGCTGTTTTTTAGACATGAAGTTTTTATATAAATTCCAATGTACTTTTGCCTTTCATGGCTGATCACTTTTTGGAAAAGTCAAAGTGGATGGTTTCTGGCTGACTTCCACATGTAGAAGAGCCTTCAAAAAGTCCTTCTTGTATGGCTCATTGTACTAATATTAAGCCAAAGTTTACAGAGACTTCACTGCTTGGAAGTACTATCTCTGTTCTGTCACCAGCCTTATCTGTTAAATCCCAATGAGTGTGAAAAACGAGAAAAATCTGGGTTTGCTTGGCTGTTTCAACAGTATGTTGAGAATGGCCAGATTGCTGGAGAAGACGATTCTCTTGGAAACCTCAACAGCCCGGCCTCCTCATCTGTAGGCACATAGAGCTCATCTGAGTGTGTAAATAAAAATAAATAATGCAGTGAAAAAATATGCAGAGTATTCTGATGAAGTGTTTCAATTTTGGATCTGCCATAACTAATTTAAATCTTCTGGTGGGATTTATGCAGGCAAAGGGGTCAGGTTTAAGACATTTATAATTTAATGCTTTCTTGCTACTACACCTTTTCTACTTTTTTATCCTATCATTATACCTTTTCTTCTGCAAAGAAAGTTCCTTTTATTCCCTCTTCCTTTCCTGCTTTAAAAAGAATATTTGCTTCTCCATTTATCTGAGGTAATGAGACCAGAGTAACTGAATTCTTTAAATCAGTCTAATTAGGCTTCTTTTAGTGTATAGAATATCCTTTTTTTGCACAGGACTTTCATTTCTTTGTGCAGTCACTCTATCTCCAGCACTCGATATCTTGCATGCTTTTTTAATTAAAAAAAGCCAAGCAATTGTCATCCAAATGACTGCATTCTCTGTTCTCTATTCCAGGCTGATTCACGGAGGGCAGCTGTTAAATGGCTTGGCGGGGCCAACTGTGATGAACGCGGCACCATTTCTTTCCACAACGTGGTTTTCTCCAGATGAACGTGCCACAGCAACAGCCATCGCGTCACTCCTCAATTACCTGGGTGCTGCTGGCGCGTTTCTAGTGGGACCACTTGTAGTGCCATCTCCTAACGGAACATCTCACCTCCCTCTGCTGTCACAGAGCAACACTGAGCACATCAAGGACCGCATTGAGGCTGTGCTGTATGCAGGTGTGGTGCAAGAATAACATATTTTTAAAAAGAAAAAAAATTACAAAAACTTTACATACTTTCATGTGGTTTTGGTACTTGTGAACCACTACCCTCTAGTGGCTGGTCTGCCCAGAAAACAGTTACTGAGTGATAGAAAATAATGAAGAGGTAAAACATTGTACCATCAGAAGGGTTAATTCTTTTCCCATTTGTGTAGGAAAGATTTTAAAAATAGGCTTTTGTACAGGCTGATTGCAAATGGAGTATTTCAGTTGTTTGTATCGGCTGTCTTAGGAGAAATGTCTTCTAGGAGAGCTTAAGCTTTCCCTGAGTTTCCAAACTGGTTTTTGCTTCTTGAATTTTCATTTAAAAAATGCATTCCTGACAGGTTGGGTTTTTTTTCTTTTCTGTAAGGGTGGAAATCCAATAGTCTTTCATCATTAAATTATTTTCTATATTAAATCAGCCTTAATTTATGACTTGCATATGCCTTTCAGTTGTGATTAGATTATTAGTATTTGAAAATCTAACCTTGAAATTAAAACTCAGTAGATTTTGTTTTTAACTGAAACCACATAATTCTTCAGTGGTGAGCAATTTCAATGAAGTTATAAGAATTTAGTGGAAAAAAAATACAAAAATACTGATACAAAATTCATCTAATATAACTTAGATTTTATATCCTTGCTCTTTTTCATGCAGTGGCTTCTACAGCTCTTTGTGTCACTTAAAAAAATAGCAGCAAGCTTTAAGGAAAAAGAGTTGTGTAAGTGGCTTAAGAGTCTACGATATAATTCTTAGTGGATATGAATTGGTATAGCATTAAGAGCAGTTGAACTTTGCCATGTTATGGCAGTTGCACATTTGGTTGGGTTTTTCCCCATTATAATTGCAGCCTCTGAAATTCAGCCAGGAGTTAGCCCTAAGTGTTCCAGAAGTCTTTAAGTGTATGTATTTACTTTGTAGTTCATATGCAGGTTTATGGGACTGATTTAGCTGTTTGTGATCATTTATTCCTGGATATTGCTCTTATGGAAATTTCATCGAGTTAATACTGTTGGGTGAGCGCCACTTTACTGTTCATTTTAAAGAAAGCATAGTAGTTGAATCACTATTTCAGTAAGTACTTTTGAGTAGCCTGCTTTTTACTGGACTCAAATGTATTGGAAGAGCAAGGAAATTTGGGGTTGGCTAGGCTTTTTCAGAGGTAAATATGTAGACTTCGAAAATCTTATGGCAGATGAAAAGGGCCAGTGTGAAAAAAGGAAAAATGTCAGCTTTTGTCCTGAAGAGCAGTAGATAAGGGGAGGAAAAATCTAGCCATTACAGAAGTGATTTAGCTCTTCCTCTCCAGATTTTTCCATGGAGAGATAAGAAGTACTTCTAGGCAGATGAATTCAGTTCTGTGCCTAAAACCACTGTTTTGAATCTGGTAGCACTAGAAATGTTCATTTCAGCAGCCTGTTAGATTCACTTTTGTTCTTTTCTGGGAAGTTTTCCTAAGCATTTTCTTCAGAAGGTGGGGTGGATCCTGCTTGCCACCAAGGTTCAGAGGTGTGTCTTGCCTGCTCCATGTCTGAGTATGGCCCCTTCTAAGCCAGCAAGGGGCTGGGAGCATCACGTAGACCTGTTTGGGATTGTTGGTCCCAGCATAAGATAATACTACAACAACTCTTCAGCTTCCTAGGAAGTGTGTTTTATGGGACATCTGTAGTTCTTAGTATTTGAAAGTGCTTTGAACAGAAGTGGTTTCTTTGTGCAGCTGTGCTTGTGGCTGTGTCATACAGGTGCGTCTTTTCAGGAGCTACAACCCCTTTAGCTGTTCAGGCAACAAAAAAGAGATGGTTTGTGAACATTACCACCTGCAGTGAATTGCAGTAATGGTGGCAAAACATCCAACTGGTTTAAAATTGGTATGAACTATAAAAGTTGAGTTTGCTTTGAATCCCTTGTGAGATTTGTCTGGTCTCACCTTAGCCCTGTGTCCCTGGAGAGCTGAGAAAGCAAGGTCCCTGCTGTCTGCCTCCCTGTGCTCTGTTATGTCAGATAGGCTCCAGAGATGAAAGAAAAGGTGCCTCCTGGTGGTTCATCTACGGACCAGAAAACATCTGGAAGGTGTGGTGGAGTACTATTTGTCCCCCTAATCAGCTGGGCAGGAAATGAAGCTCAAATAGACTTCACAGATTACTAGTAAAGATGTTACAGGATGTAGCAGAACAAGGAGCTGGACCTAAATGTCCCACTTCCCCACTTCTTCAGTGAGCGTGATCAGGCTTGGTATGACTTCTCCTTTAAGATACTACAGGAAAGCCAGTTTCACAGGATAAGCACTCTGCATTCCTAAAGGAGTTGTGTTTGTGATGGAGCTTGTTGCTTTTCTGTGAGGTAGCCTTAGATAAGCAGCTCCCAAAAGTTAGGTGATGACTTCTAAAAGATGGTAATGATGTGAATTGTTGACTTGGGATCAGTAGCATGCCAAGAGTGTGCTAATTTTCCAAGGACTTAACCTCAAACATGATTACGAAGCAATTGCTTATATACCCATTCTGAATTTGCTCTGTTAATTCTAGTCTCTTCTGTGTTTTAATAAATTGTCTGTGTTTTAATAAATTGCTGTTCCTTTATCTCAAACACAGACTAAGAGCTCAACTGAATTACCACAGCCTCTTTCTGTGTCATCTCTGTCACTGCATATTCTGGTTCAAAGCTGAAATAGTACAGATGCAGTAAATCAGGATTGAATTGTATTACCTGAATCGCATAAGGAAGCTCGAATTATTCTGGACTGAGTAATATGGCCCCTAGAGCTTTTAGCCATGTGCTTCCCTAAATATCAATGTAAAATCATTATTTGTTTAAAGGAAAAAAAAAAAAGTGTATGTGTAAAGTGCCCTCATTGCCCCTTTACATTTCAGGACAAGATAGGGAGGAGGGTTTCTGGGTTTGGGTATGCTTTTGTACTATGAGTAGTCTATCTGAAGAAAAAAGACCTGAAGAAAAAAAGACTTGTATTGAGGAGGCCTGTGTCTCTGTAAACCTCTTTTTTTCTGTTTGGGGCTTGCACAGGCAGCAGGGTGCCTACTTCCTAAACTAAGATGTAGCTATCTCTCCGCCTTGACAGTCACAGACCACTGTGGCATGGTACCCAGCTTTTTGATTCACTCCTCAACAAGAGATATACACGACTGTGTTTCTGCACACTATTTTATGCTTACTTTCCCAATTCTGAGTGCTTTGCTGCATCCATTGCGTTGTTGAGAAGCCAGTAACTCCTGTGGAAGAGCTTCTCTTTTGTGACTGCAGCTCCCTTGGTCTCAATATTGACCTATTTCTTACATTTTCTCTTTTGGTTTCTTTAACTTGCTACTTAAAATCTAAATCTTATCCTGAAAATGTGTTTATCTAGTCTGGTAGAGTAAATGGTGATGGAGATAAAGGTGCAGGTTTCCTAATGAGGAAGGAATGCAACATGTAAGAAATCAGATGTGTTTGGCAGTACCTGGACTTCTGATAGAGATGCAAGTGTGATACACAAAGCTAAGATGGCACTGAAGACTTGTATTCTTTAAATAGAGGGATCTGCTTTAGTTTCCAAAGTGAATTCTTCTCTTTTCTTTTGTGCATGAGGGCAGTGCTTGTGAGGCACATTTTGTAGCCTCAGTATAGTGTAACACTGGGAAACATTAAAGAGTTGCAAGAAGGTACTACAAGGACTGAATGCTGAATTTAATCATTAAAAAGGAAAAAAAAGAAAGAAGTGTTGCCATACTGTTCCTACTGCAGCAATTTGACTGGCAGGAATCTTGAGGCAACCCATAGAAGAGGCCCCAGAAGAGCACCTGTTATAAAATATTACCATGACTTAAAAAAATTATCAACGTGTTTTACATTCCTCAGCAAAAGACCTAGCCTTTCCCCTTAAGGTATTACAGTATAATGAAGCTAAATAATAAGCATCTCGGACAAAATTTATGGGAGTGTGTGGTCACATTCTTGTTGTCTATGCATGTCTACATCTGAAATCTTCCTTTAATATGTGATTGAAGTGTGAGTATGCATGTACATAGGTATACCTATAAACCTATATATATAGACTCAGATACAGGAGAGGGGAATAAACAGCTTTTGGCAAGCCTTGCTTCCTTGTCTAGTATCAACCTATAGGACAAAACAACTCATCCCTTTCTTAGATCTGGGATGATCAGTTATGGCCAGTTCTTTATTCATTGCTCATGGTCTCAAAAACAATGTAGACAGAAATTAATCTATTCTCTGGAGAACAGAGGAGATATAGTGAGCAGGTCTAGTTAAAGTGCCCTTGACTCTCCAAACATGCAATTAGACCACAGTAGGAAAAGAGACACCACATAATTCAAAATTAATCCCTTAGTATATGATCGTGAGGAATGGTATTGTCACATTGCTGGTATGGTTTCAAAAGAAATTTACTGTAGACTTTTTTTCTGTATACCAAATAGAAGCATTCATTTCCCTTCCCCATCTCCAGCTGATCCATTTAGACTCCAAGTGTTATTTACTTTTCAGTTTCCTGAATTTATTTTCTTCTGGTTTAGCAGAAGAGCTGGCAAAGTGCCATGTTCATATTGATTTATTAAAAAAGAGAAGAAAAAAGAAAATTAATGCAATTGAGTATCCAGCTCTGCTGGAATTTATTTGTGGTGTCGGTGAACACTTCTTTGTTATAAGATCACAGGTTCTTTTAAGATAACACACTTAAGCTATACATTTTTCTCTCCAGCAGCAAAGAATTGTTTTCAAAGGGGATATGAGAAATACTGGGATTGAGGACTGTGGAGAACATGATATACATTGTAAAAGGCCTGTAAAACAAATTAATTAGACTGACTGGGTAGAGTTGTTTTTCCTCAGAATGTCTGATCACAGGGCTTGCTGAGTATTTTCTCTGAAGTGCTCATCACTTTGCAAGTTCAGGTCCAAATTTCTGCTATAAAATTTTTCAAAGATCTAGAATACCTGCTGCTGAACAAGAGAAGCATCTGCAAACAGCTGTATTCTTTCATTTTTCTCCCTGTTACCCATGCTCTTTCTATTCTGGAGCCATAGCTGGTCTTACGCTTTTCTCTTTATATTCTGTTGCCATGTAATACTGTTTGTGTCCGAGATGCTGCCTTGCTTGACCTTTCGTTTGTCTTCATCATCCTGTGCGCCAAGTAATTGTCATTCCATGCCCTGGGGCTTCCCCAGTCCCATCTGTTTAAAGTCTCTAGCACGCTGTTACCTGCACTGCGTTACTTCCATTGCGAGGAAGCGTGTCCAAATCTTCATAATGCAGTTCTCTCTGAAGAGAAAAAGCAAAATCTTTCCTTCTGCTTCACTGAGTTCCCCATGTATGAGCCTGGTTCTCTGCAGCTTCTGTCACTGGAATGGACTGCTGGTATTTCTCCATCTCATTGAGTCTCCATCTTAATTTGAAATCTTGCTGGGGGAGGAAAAAAATTCTCTTTCAAGTTACACAGTTCTGTTGTCAGGAGCAGTAAAGCACTTGTGGCGGGATTTATGTAACAGAGGCTGGCTGATAACAATGCTGTACCAAAATAAGTCTTTTGATGCTAACATCTGTTCTTGGTTTTGTTTTTCTTTGCCCTCTTAGAATTTGGGATGGTTTCCCTGATATTTTCTGCAGCGTTGGCCTACTTCCCCTCGCGCCCTCCATTCCCTCCTAGTGTGGCTGCAGCAAGTCAACGGCTCAGCTACAGGAGAAGTTTTTGCAGACTCTTAAGGTAAGTCCTCATTGGATTTCCACTTCAAAGCAGATAAGCACCTAAATAAATAAAAACAAGTGTGCTTTAATCTTCTTATTGAGCAAACAAGTTGGTTTGTAGTGCTTTTAAACAAAATAAAATGAAATATTGATGCTGAGACTTAAGAGGATGCTAACTGCTAAAAAGCAGACATTAAATTTTAAATCATTGGGTATATCTCAAGCCTTGATACCAGAGTCCTTTAGCACCAACACTTCTTTAGTCATCCTGTTAGCACGGCTTCTCTTCTGCAATGCTTCTGTTACATTGGGTTATACAAGATTGTTAACAGTGTGCATGCTGCTAGGTGTGAGAAAACAATTGACAACACTGGGCATAACTAACTAATAAGCTGCTTTCTTCCACACTTATTGTATTGGAATGAATTTGAGGTTTGCTTGTCACTCAAAGGAGTATTCAGTTGCTTTCATTCAGCCATGGGAGCAATGAATGAACTATCCAAAAACATTGTATGATTTATCAAATCTCATGAATTGTATGTTAAAATATGAATAGATGTGTTTCTGGACAGGGTCATAGGTGAATTAAGTTTCCTTTAAATTTTGGGTTTTAAAAAAAAAGTTTTTAAAAAAAAAGAGAAAGTGACATCTCCCAGCTTTGTAACTTCTCCCACTTGGCCTCTTGGTAAGACCCAGTCTCACCCACACAGTGTTTGCACAGTGTCTTGCACAATGGGGATCTGATCTCAGAGGAACAGCTAAAGCAACTGTAATATTAATGCTGAATAATTGTCAAGGAGGCCTGTGCCTGTATGTGATACTGCACTGATGAACATCCTGGGGCAAAGAACCACCACTCCCATGATGTGGAGTATGGTGGACTTCACTGGGGGACTTCACACTCTTGTTGTCATTGTTTCTTGGGCCATGTAGTCATAGGAGCTGAATCTGTGTACAGAGGGCTGCTTGAAACTTAGTAATGGTGGAGCTTTAGGCATTTAGTTATTACAGCTCTATTGTGGAGTGTACTTTCTAAAAGTATATGTAGAACCAGCAAAACCAACTCCTGCCTTGTTGTCATTGTTTTTTCCCTTTTTTTTTGGAGGCTTGTGTTTCAGTTTGAGGGAATGAATAGTTGACAAGATGTTTAATCCTGTGTGTTCATCCTGAAACAGGCTGGCAGTTGGGAGAAGGTGTGAGTACAGCTGGCTGGTTAGTCTGCAAAGTGACCTACTCAGGATATTTAAAAAAATATCAATTCCCATAAGGACACTTAGCACACACAATAATGCTGTTACACACCCAAACTGGTATGCAGTGAGACCCTGCCTGAGGGATGTGTTGTAAAAATGTTGCTGCTGAACAGAAATCCAAACAGCAACTGACTCCACAGGTGAAATATAAAATTTTTGTTGACAGTACTCCATTTGGGAGCTTTATAACCATTAGATTCCTTGTTCAAAGTGTTGTAAACAGTGGACCTGAGATATAGGTAAGGTCAGGAGGTAAACAACAAAACTGACTTACTATTCACAATCAGTGAAACTTAAGAAAATAAACTGGATGCTTAAATAATGAGTATAGTTGATAGTGTCTCCAAGAACCAAGAGTTTTTTTTAAAATGCGGTCGGTCAGGTAGATCATGATATCTCCCTTCACTCTGGTCTTTATGCATTCTTCCATGCTACCTCTTATCAAAGGCACTTCTTCATTCCTCTGTACATGAAACAATCAACAGTTCATCATTAAACACACTTATCTTGGAGAGCCTTTCAGCAACAATCCATCAAGCAAGGGGGTTTTATAAAAGAAAATGGTATCTGTTGTGCTTCAAGAGAACTCCATCATGTGGTTCATTAGGCTTCTAAACTCTGTTGCCTGCCTAATCTAGGCTTCATAATTCTTGGCACAGAGAGCCTTTCTTTTGACTTAATGGTGTAGAGTGAAGGTAATCAGCTGATGAATACCAGGAAATCATAATTTCCTCTTACTGCAGACTTACACACAGTTTTTATACCAGAGGGTAAGGCATTTACGATATGTGTGAGCTGGTGGGCTGACCAAAAAACTGTGCACCAAAAAACATTCATGAGAATTGAGATGTTCGTCATCTCCCTCTTCTCTCCCCCAGGCTGCAGTTTTATCACTTCAAAATAAAACTGCATAGCATAACTTCACCATTTAAGTCATTGACCTTTTTCCTTGGATGCCAAAGGGATCTATCAAATCCTTGCAACTCCCACACTCCTTCATGCCTTCAGGTCCTGAGCAGTGGTCTTGATGAGCTACTTCTTGCAGAGTTGTATTATACATATCTCCTTAGGGTTGACCGTCCCCTGTAGGCTGTATTTTTGGGACTTGCTTAGGAGCTTGGTTCTTCCTCCTGATTTGGAGGATTCCTGTTTCTGACAGATTACAATGATTAACTGATCTCTGGTTATCTTCTGATACCAACTCTCTCAGCCTATAGTGGGAGACGACAGATTAGTCATGGTTTGGGAGCTAAGCCCAAATCTTTTAACAGTCTATCACACACTGTGACAAGTGTAGTTTGAATTTCCATTAGAAAAAGTATGGTGCCCTTTCTCAGTTTCTTGGGTGAAGCAAATATGACTTCCCCCCCGCCCCATGTCAGAATATGCCACAAATTTCCATGGAAAACTTTCTAATAGAAGTAAATAGTTGATAAGTCTTAAAATCTGCATTAAGAAAACATGTCATGATTTTTGCTTTGAAGTATTTAGTTGCTTCTAGCCGATTACGTGCCTTTTATATTTTCAAGGGACTATGTAAGCAATTTTGAAATTTCATAACAGGGTTTTTGTGCATCATTATTTCTTTAATGAGACTGTCATATGACATCACCATCCAGTGATGGAAGCTGCTTAGAATGTGCCTGATCTTAATCGGTGCTGTCAGTTATTCTGAAGATGGTGACTGACAGGGCTACAGACAGGGCTCCACTCTGAACCAACTTGTCTTAGAGATTCTGTTTCTGAAAAAACAGAAGAAAAAGCCAATTCATATTCCAGCAAAATGGTTTAACAGAGAGGCTAATGCCGATAGCCTGTCATAAGGGCTGATATGATAGAAAACAGTGTGGGTTCACCAGCTGATGGTGTGACAGACAGCACATTTTTCTATTTTCAATGAAGCAATTGCAAAATTGCAAAAACAAATACAAGTGACTGGAACCATGGAAAGTGGAGCTGCTGCTTCAGATGTACATTTCAAATAGCTTCAGCACTTAACGTAGGCAGCACTAGCTATTGCTGGACAAGGGGACAGAATGACATCTGGTGATCAGTGCTGCTTTGTCACTGCCATGCACCCTTTCTCCTGGTCGCCTTCCTTATTCTGGACACTAGGCAGGGTGGCAGCCTCTGTCACTGGAGGATGTTGTGATGCCAAACTGGTTCTCTAGTATTGGTACTAGGAGGTGGACGTAGCACAAAGCAGCTATCCCATGTGCCAATCTGTCTTGTTGCTTGAGTTACGGAAGACAAATACGCCACAGATTATTTTGGTCAAGTAAGTTACAAAGTACTCACCCCTTCAAAAGTAGCTCTTTAATGAAGATGAAGTTCAGATAGCCAAAGATTTTGAATATCAAGCAAGTCTTGTTTTGGAAGAGTGCATTCAGACTTGTTCCCTCTTTGCGATCTATGACATGGCTATATAGGCCCTTTCCCTTTTATTTTATTCGACAGATGTTGAATTAGCTTTCACTTGGATAGTATTAAATAGCGTCAGAAAACCTGCTTAAGAGATGCCAAGATGGTACAAGATAGACTAGGATAAGAGGAATATGACATTCTTAGGAGAGAAAAAAAACATTGTCAGGAAGACAGCAAATGCTTTAGCGTTCAGAGAAATATAAGCAGTGTGTAAAAGAGCTGAAAGTTTGGGAGTTGTTTTTCTTTATAATAAAAAATAAATCTGACATGAATGATATTGAAAGAGGAGGGTATGTACATGTGATAGAAATGTGTTATTCAAGAAGAGGATGTGTGAAAAAGAACAGTGCAAAAAAACACTGGCTGGTGTGCTGTGCGTGGATCATCTAGGGGAGTAAAACAGCGTAAGCTGCAAACCTCTGAGTGTTTTGGAGAGTATTTGAAGCTCTTTCTCTTCCTCTTTGTAACTGTGTGCTATCAAGATGCCGCTGCATGCCAAGGAACTGGTACTGATCAGGATCAATTTTATATAAATCGTTTGGGAAGGGAGGGAGTCACATTTTGTGGTTAAACAGATATCCCATGGGATAAACTTGGAATCACCATAAAATCTTTTCACTTTAAAATACCACTGTTGCAGAGTCCAAAGTATATTTTCTGATTTTATTCCCAAATTGAAAAATTTTTGATGAAAAGTTGGATGTTTCTTAGCAAAGATTTTGCATTTGCTTTTGGTTACGGTGGGTGGGGGAAATTGGTGGTGGTATTTGTCTGCCAACTCCTGTTTAGCTGTGTATGATGAAGATGATGACACAGCTTTGACTGCTTCATTTTCACTGAATACTAAAGGTTGAATAAGTTTAATTGGGAGGAAAAACCAAACACATTGACTATTTAGAGCAGAATATTATACTTGTATCTGTTTTTTGACAGTTCAAACTGTCAAAATTTTCCCCTCTTGCAGCTGTGCCCATCTCATTCTGAGAGCTCTCCTTGCCTTTCACCAAAATAAAGAAGTAAAACATGTTTTTTAAAAAAATAAAGTACAATTCAAAAACTATGAATCTCTGATTTTATTCTTGAAATAGACCTTTTGTCATTTAAATTAGGGCTTATTGTTCCTAACATACACCTGGGCTAAGTAGGTTGCCCATGCAAATGCATGGAAGAATTGCTTGTGGAAATGAGAAACACATGAACCCAGCGTGCTACAAAAATCTTTGAACTATGTGGAGACTGGCTTTTTTATTATCACAGTGCTAAGGCAGTAACATCTCAGCCACTGGAATTTCAGTGACATGGCCAGATACTTTTCTTGCTTTTCCTGGCTCACCCTTCCTTCATACCTCTGCTATTTTTCTTGAGGGGCAGAACATAGATTCTAGGGTGTCATTTACTCTAGCAGCTAATCTTGGTGCAGTTTCTAATATAAGCTGCAGCTAATTGCATATATTTTGTCTTCACAGCAATTTCCGATTCTTGATGATTGCTTTAGCCTATGCTATACCACTGGGTGTTTTCTCTGGCTGGTCTGGTGTTCTGGATTTGATATTAACACCAGTTCATGTAAGCCAAGTAAGTATCTCTTGACTGATAATCAGCAGCTGTTTTGTAAGTGGTGTTTTTATTTTGCTCTAGCATATAATTTTATCAGGTTTTTGTGTTTAAGCTACTATTAATACATATGGACCACTTTTCTCCTGAAATTTTAAGCAAAATAAACTGTAGCTTTTGCATCCCAAACTGTCATGATTCTCCCTGCTGGCTCTCTTCCAGTGGTATTTTCAGAACGGTATGCACCTTTTGACAAGGAGGAGGAGGCAGGTAAACAAAGGGGTGTATTGTTGGCTGCTGCGCCTTTAGTAGAAAACCCAAAAGTTTTTGCCAAGTGGAAAAGGTGAAGTGAGCAGAGGATTTCTAAGTTTTTGATAGAGTATTATTACTGATATTACTTAGATTCTGTAAAGAGATGTCACATTTAGGGTATAGTCATACTTAGTCATACTTTCTTTTAGTGAATTTATTTCCTTTTGAATATCCTAGAAAAAGTTTTGCACTTCAGGGGGCTGTTGCTAGCAGTTTGCAGTGTCTGCATACCATTTTTTTGGAAAGTAACATCTTACCATCTTATTTTCTCAGCTTTAACAGATTTCTCTGTTTTGTTTTGTTTGTGTTTTTTTCCTGTCAGGTAGATGCAGGCTGGATTGGATTTTGGTCTATAGTTGGAGGTTGTGTTGTTGGCATAGCAATGGCAAGGTAGGAATAATTACATGTCCTTCTCCATTTCTTCAACTGTGATTGACATTTAGCTTATCCTCTTAATAACATAACTTGTTTTTTTTTCAACTTCTAGAAACTTGAAATAGAAAATATATTCTGGGGTTATGATGTGTTTCTTATAGAGCAATGATTTGTATATTCCATTTTAGTGGTCGTTGGGGGTTGAGAACTCCACATGTGTATACCTCAATTTGGCAAGTCATACTGTTACTCCTGACAAGTGCTTCCTGTATGCTCCTTTTAAACACAGTTCTTGTGAATGCAGCTGCCTGATATGAAGGAGAACCCGTTATAGCACATTTGGAAAGCATTGAAGAAATTAGTGTCTGTCTCCTTCCATCAACTCTTTCGGGCATATTGATTCCCAAGGGGATATTGGAAGTGTAGCACAGACAACCTACCCACAATAACGTCATATTCCTCCACAAAGAAATTATTCTGGGCTTATTTTGGCTGGGCTGCTGGATTCCTAGATGGCCTAACTATGTTTTGCTGTACTGCTATGAGTTACAGTGTGGGTGTACCCACACTTTATATATCCAAACACCATGCTCTCTGGCCATCATGAATGCTGTGTGGAAAAGCAAGAAATAGACTGCCTTTCCAAATGGCTGCTGCTTTTTCTTCATTGAGATTCCCTTCAAAAAAAGGGGGTGGGGGGTAGGGGGAGAAGAAGTCTTTCAGGAGGTACTTGAACAGTGAGTTTATAAAACTGATTAAAACCAATTGCATGTTCCCCTTGCATCAGGATATCTGGCTTCTCTATGTCCACTCCTCAGGCTCCAGTTCTGCAATGAGTTTAGCACTAGTGCAGGGGTCTGTTATTGTTGAAGTCATTGTGGGATTATGGACCCAGAGAGGCATCTTTTTAGGACAGAAATTGAACTACTTTTTTTTTTTTTTTTTTTTTTTTTTTTTTTTTTTTTTTTTTTCACTTGCTGTTCATCACCAGAGTACACAATGCATAAAGAAATCTGAGGTTTCTCATCCTGACATTTTGCAGGCTGCCTAGCAACTGCAACAGAGGGAGAGGAAAAAAACTCCTGACCTAGGGAAAAGAAACAAGCGCTTGCCTCCCATCTGTTCCAGATGCAGGCCAAAGGATTTAATCTACTGCAACAAAGTTCCTCTAAAAAGAGTTGCTTTTGATTACCTAATCTCAGATACAGATTTTTCTCTCTTAGAGAAGTAGATGTTTAAAACCAACTGCTGTAAATGACACAGGTGCTGTAGCAGGTTACATGCTGAAGCAGGTAGTGTGCCAGTTTAATCTTTTCCATCATGAGTCAATCTCTGGCATATTTGCAACATTTCAATAGTAGAGGGGGCATCCTTAGTAGCTCACTTAACTTTGTTAGAAGAGAATCTGCTGACTCAATGCCAACATGCAAATCTCAATCTCTATGGTAAATTAATTTATTTAATATATTGCCTGGGTTAAGTTTCAGGAAATGCTGACAGTCTCTTTAACTGCTTCAAAATTGATTTCAAACCTTGTTGAATACCAGTATTTGTAGCATTCAGAGCTTTGCTTTTGAGTAAATTAAAAAGATACCCTCTGTCTCCAAATATGTCTTTCTAACTTGGGCAATACACAGTTCAAATGGGAGGGTTTGCATACAGAAAGGGAGGGAGGAGGTGATTTGTCACTCCTGATGGATGATTCTCCCTCCTAGGCCTATTCAGCATTTATCTGTGTAGGGTTGAATCAATGACGAGTCTGACTGTAATCTGCTGGAAGTTGTAATTAGGAAAATTAAGTAATGATTCTTGTCAAGGCTGACAAGTTGATGTATTTCAGTGTCAGAACTGTGATTTGCGAAGCAAGCAGCTCTCTCAACCACCTCTTAAGAAGCTGTTGGGTTTTGGGGGGTTTTTTCCCCCTTTTTTTTACTTTCTGCTAATTTTTCAAAGCAAAATTGGTGCGGTTTAGGATTTTGCTCCTTCCATTTTTGTCAAGCAGATTGTACCAGTTAGAACTGTAACAACCTGAGCATTGGAGCATTTGGTCCTACATGTCACAATAAGTGTTAAATCATTCATATTTAAGGTAATGCCCAGTTTGGAAATTTGTTTATCTATGTCATTTTCAAGATGGTGCAAGTTTTTCTCAGCACAATACATAAATCCTCATGTTCTCCACCCACTGCTGTCCTGCAAGCCATGAACTTATATATGTTTAGCTAATTTGTGTGATGCACTTTTATAATTGAAAAGCCTTGGGCTATTTTGGGCAGCTGGCAGGTGCTGTACACTTTGCTGGCAGCTTTCAAATTATACTGGTTTGAAGAAAAGCAGTGTCAAAGAGCAACATTCATATCATTGTATGGAAACATAAATCTCTTCCCTTTTCTCACAATTTTTGGGTTTTGCCACATTTGCTAATGATCATAGACATTTCTGAGGTTTTGTCCTCCACATCTCAGTTTTTCTTCCTGCTTTTAACCTGCAGTGTAGTCAGAATGCTGAAACTTTATGACATGGTGATAATTTCCTTAGCAACAGCGTTGTCAGCAATGCAGGTTTGTGATTTTTAACTGTAGGATTCAGCCTAGGGCTGGATTTGCTGGGTTGCAGGAGACTTTCCAGCACTCGGCTCAGAGGTCTGTTTCTGGGTAAGTATCCACACCTTCTCTCCTGGTGTGCCTACTTTTAGCAGCTGCAGACATCCCCTTACATGCTAGATGATGTAGAGGGATTTAAACAGAACAGAGGGTTTTGAAAGCAGGTACTGGGGTCAGAGGATAAAAATAATTTCTCTCAAGTATTCTGAAGAGTAGACTAGATTTACAGTTGTCTAGTTGTCTTTATTCTCCTGTAACCAGACAGGAAGCAGAAGTCCCTTGATGACCAAGTTCAGGCTAGTTTGCTATGCCATTTTTTCCAGTTATTTCTGTTGCTGGCTGACTTCAGTAGCTGCATAAACCTTCAAGTTTGTATTTGCCCCTTCCGGAGTCCTGTGATATCTGAGAGCTCCTTGGAGCACACTGCTACCACTGATACCCAAACCAGGATCTTTGTGTCAAAAAGTGTTGCAGCTGTTCAGTAAAGTTAGGTATTTGCTCCACTTAACTATCTTGAATGGTTTAGTTGCATATTATCCTTTTCCATCCTCTCATATCCCTGATGGTAGGACAGAGACAGAGGACACCCTAGAGATCCCTTCCAGATCTGTTTTCTGTGAATGTCCCTTCTTGAAGACTGATGCTTCTCTCACTGTGTTTCATTAGATGGGATATTCGTAACTGCTGTTGCCCCTAAGGAGACAGAATAGTGATGTTATCTGCTGGCGGGCAAAGCAAGGAGTCTCTCTTGAAGAAGCCAAAAGTTAACACTTTGAGATGCATCTGAGAAGCTTTTAAAATTGCTGATTTTGACCCGAGTGATCCCAAAGAATAATTAAAGAAACTGATAAACCACTGAGAATAGGTGATCCTGATTGCTGGATTTGGATTGTCAGAAAAAAACAACAGTAGCAGCTAACCTCTGACTATTGGAGATTAATGTATAAGCCACTTGAACACTGCAGTCATACACTTTTAAGATTATACGCAGGATTGATCTTCTGCTACTGCTTATTGAATTACTCACTGCTAAATTCAATGTGGAATTAAAGCACGGGGAGAATCAAAATAAGAGAAAAGAAGTGGAGTTTTTTGTTGTTTATTTTGATTGCATTACTTATACATCTCTTAGAGTATATGTGGAGCTGAGGTTCTTAGCTCTCAAAATGTTTGTAGCATTATCTGTTTTATCAAGTAAGCTATAAGGTATCTATCTGCCTGTAAAGTGGTCTTTGTCAGGGCAGAGAAGGCAGTTAGCTGACAGACAGATTTCAACATGGAACAACCTGAGTGGATTGTGCTGCCAATTGGCCTAATCAAGATAGGAGGCTGTGAGGGCAAAAGGCATTTTTTACACACACATACCTAACCTGTCTGGCCCAAAATCGCATCTCCTAAGCAGGACATTATAGAATATTACTAGTGGATAAATGACATTGCCTTTTCTAATATATCTTTTTCAGTAGCTGTGTTGAAATGCCTTTTGAAAAGAGCAGTTGCACTGATAATTTGCCATGTGAGTGCTGCTCAAAAGCATTATGTCTCCTTGAAAGAAAAAAAAAAAGATGAAAAAAAAAAAAAAAAAAACACTGCCCAAGGACTTGTGCGGCTGTCCTCCCCCAGACAGTCAGTGGGACATGTGTACGAGAGGAGTGTCACCAAACTCCTGGTTTCTGGAACATTTCAACCCAAAACAGCCAGCGGCAGAGTGACCGCCTGTGTAAAGAGTTCCTCCTTTGCCTGAGTCACCGAGAGCTTGATTGCCAATGCATCCGAGGGTTCAGAAGCTGTTCCTTGTCATCTCCTATCTAGGGATTCTGGTATTTGGAGTTTTGTCATTTCCCACAGGAATGAATCTTGACACTTAACTATGTCTTGAATGAAATGCAGCAGCCTCCCCATATGCTAATTGAGCGATGTGTCTGCCAAGGGAGACTGGCAAATGCTGACAAAACAGCGATGTAAGTAGTGGTGTGATGTTGTGTCCAACAAATGCAGAAGAAAAAAAAACCCTTCCTGTATACCAAGTGTTTTCATTTGATGCCTTGAGAATTGTTCTGGTTTGGTTGTTATTTTGTGACAGCTGAAAAATCCATGGCTCTTCAGCTTGACAGCTAGAAATATCACCATTCTATAAAAATGCCTTTTTTCTCTTTCTGAAAATGAGAAATGCTTTTAAAATTGTTTCTATAGTCTCCAGAATGTTTAATGAGAATATACTGAATTAATTGTCAAGCATCACATCTAATATGAAAATTTGTGCTCCTCTGATCTGTGCTTTTATTTTAGATTTGCAGATTTTATCAGGGGGATGCTGAAGTTTATACTACTGCTGCTTTTATCTGGAGCAACATTAGCATCAACCTGGTTCACTCTCACCTGTCTAACTAGTGTCACTCATCTGCCTTTAACCACAGGTAATGACAATGATTTTAATTCCTGTTATTTACAAATGGTATTGGATGCAAATATTTGTAGTCTCTAATTATGTTATAACCTGGTTAGGTATCTTTAGTAATACAGTAATTTTACCAAGACAAAAAAAAAAAAAAAAAAAAAAGAGGTTTAGAAAACTTGTTGAATCTGACATATCTTTACCAGCTTTGAATAACTTCATAAAAAGATTAAAAATAATGAAACTCAATAATAAGAACCCAGAAGATGCATTTGAAATTGATTTTGGGACTGATTTTTTTTTTTCTGTTTTGGGTGTTTTGGAATAACAGAGGTGAGAAAAATCACATGAAAGGGAGTAGCCTTGCGCCTAAGAAACAGTGACATGTCTGGCAATTTAGGGTTTTGAAACTTACATTAATTATTGGAAACATGTGGTGCAGTTCAAGCCAAGGTGACCCATAGTATTTTCAGCCATCTAAATCTATCCCTGCACTGTGCTGTCCTCTCTTTTTGCACCTGCATGCAGGTTCAGGGAACTGTTCCAGCCCAAAATTAACTCAGCCCGTGCCTCAAAAAGACAGGTAAAAAAGCTGTTGGCAGGAGTGGGGGAAAAGCTCAGAGGTCTACTCAAGCTGCCAGCAAGCTGTACCCTAATTGCAAATTAGCACTGCTTAGTCCTTCAAAATCTGTCCTTCACCTTACTATCTGCACCAAAGGATTGATCCACCCATGATTCCAAGACCTTCAACAGAGTAATGATTTACAGTAAAACTAAACCATTGAGATTTTTAAAAATATTGAAGAATTCTGTAAATCCATTTTAAATAAAGTGCCATCTTTGTTATAGGGAAGTTTACGCATTATAGGAGAAATTAAAATTGTGTTTTCCCATTTTTTAATAAAGAGTTTGGTGTGGAGAGTAGTATATAAAGTACTGGTTCACTCAAATTAACTTTGAGTTTCAGTAAATGTCCTTGGTGTGTTGCATTATGTAAACTAAAGTGGGTACAGCAAATTGAAATACATGATCAGTTCAGGAGAAACACCATCTGGGTGGATAGGTCAAACCTTGTGATTTATCTTGAAATTTCAACTATTTAAAAAAAAAAATCTGCTTAAATAAAACATAATTTAATCAATAAACAAAAATCAATAAACAAATCAAATTTCATGGTAGCTATTGTCATATGAAATGGCTACACTTTTCCAGCAAATCTAAAATAAATGCAATAAAAGCTTATTTCTTGTGCTTGCCTGCTTCATCACTACAAGCCTGCAGTAATGTAAATTTTCACAGTAACTGTATCCTCTGAATTGATGCAGCAAGCCAAACACATAAATGTCCCTTCAAGTCTATGCATAAGAATGAAGCCAAGAGGTTTCAAGAGGTGAAAGTCATTATGTGTGTATTCACCAATGATCCAAAACAAAACTAGTGGAGCTCTGTCTCTGATTTTATTTTTTTTTTTTTGTAAAGAACTCGGCATGCAACATAGGTTCTAGAAGAATTCTTAACTTGTTTACAGCATGTAGGTGCATTATGGTGTTTTTTTTAGAAAGGTGATCCACTGGCAGGACATAAAAGTATGTAAGGTATTTGAGGTTTGACATAAAGTATCCTAAACTAGCATCCCTTGATAAAAATTTAGGGATTAGATTGTTCTTTTCATGCAGTTATTGTTTCTTTTAAAATGGATGATTCCTTAGTTTGAGTTGTAAATTAAATTTTAGAGTTTTCTGTCTGTGCTGTTCTTATATATGTCACTGTAAATGTTGAACCCTTTTCTATAAAACACAAGCTTGTTTTGAATAGAAATGCCAGCAATATGGTACATTCTTCAAAAAAAGGCAATCTAAGCATCAGGGCCCAATGTGCAGCCACCAAATAAGATCTCTTTTTTCTTCTGTGGCATAATGTTTAAACTTCATAGATAGGCGGGGGCAGGAGGGGTTCATATCAGCCTTTTCTCATTAAAGTTCATATAAAATAAATGCACCCATTCAATTTAGATCCTTGTACACAGAAAAACAGTGGTATATCTTTATGAAATATGCTGTTATGGATGAAAACACACAAGCTATTTAAGCTAATTTATAGGACTTCATGCTAGATTATTCCTCAATGTAATGATGCAATATCATGATGACCTCCACATTCCACAGTAATTGGGAGAAACGGTACATTTGAATTGATTTGGATGATTTTTCCCCTTCTTTTAATTAAAAGTTTGAGATGTAGAGTATATCGAAATATAAATGTAGGTCAGATGCAGGCCATTGGCTGGCAGCTTTGGGAAGTGATTTGAGATAGCTGGTTGAGGTGAAAGTCATTCTGCTTACTCAGTGGACTTCCAGGTAGTTATCCTCTGTGTGTATTTATAGAGCTGGAAAATATGCAAAACAAAAGCATTGTGGGCTTTTTCTTTTGTTTTTTTGTGTGGTTTTTTGTTTTTGGTTTTTTTTTTGGAAGTGGTTCATGTAATGCTTTGTATCCCAGAGCATCCTTCCAGGCATCACTGAACACCTGCTGCGGAGCAGGGATTGTTGTGCTATTGAGGGCAATAGGATTTGATGTTGCTAGAAAGCTAATAGACTCTCCAGCTTCTTTGTGTCCTGTGCCAAAGAGCACAAATGTTAGGCTTGGTGGTGCCACAGAACCAGAGATGGATCTCAGTCCACACATTCAGCCTTATTCAAACACTGAGGCAGAGCAAGAAGGGTTCAAGCCAGACTATTGTGGAAACTTGTGGGGCTGTACATTTGATCTTACAAGGAGGTTTTCCCTTCTAACCATGTAGCTCCCATTTTGTCCGGGACTTTCCCCTCCTCTCTTGCCTTACTTCCAATGTTGTTCTGTTGAGCAAGTCAGACATTTTCCTACAAAACCACAAGTGTTGCCATCTTCAACAATACCTGGAAACTGCTAAAAATATCCACATGACCTGATGTACTGCTGGTACAGGTAAAAAAGAGTTTTTCTGTGGGAAAGGACAGTTATTTTCATGACAAAGCAAGACACCTCGTGGGATTCTTTGTACTGGCTGTTGTGCTTTGAGCCCAGAGGTCAACTGAGCACCACATAATTGTTTGCTCACCCCTTGTCCCTGAGGAATGGGAAGGAGAAAATAAAGCAAAAAGCTCAGGAATTGAGATGAGGACAGGGAAGGGTGATTCACCCATTACAGTCAAAGGCCAAAGAGACTCATTAGGGGAAGAAAAAGAACATGAATTTAATTCCGACACTAATAACAACAACTAACAGACAGAGCAGTGCAGCGAGAAGCATTACCACATCTTAAAAACACCTTCCCCCACCCCTTCCTTCTTCCCAGGCTTAGCTTTGCTCCCAATTTCTCTACCTCCTCCCCCCCAGTGGTGCAGGGGGCAGTGAGTAGGGGTTACGGTCAGTCCTGCTGCCCCTTCCTCCTCAGGAGGAGGACTCCTTGCATTCTTCCCCTGCTCCAGCGTGGGGTCCCTTGCACAGGAGACAGTCCTCCACAAACTTTTTCCACCATGAGTCCTTCCCACGAGCTTCAGCATTTCCCAAGCTGCTCCTGTGTATTAGAGTCCTCTCAGTGCTGAGAGTTCTTTGGGCGCAGCCCCGTGCTCCGGCGTGGGGTCCTCCACGGGCTGCAGGTCGGCATCTGCTCCACCAGTGACCTCCATGGGTGCAGGGCACAGCCAGCCCTCTCACCACGGGTGCAGGGGGGTCTCTGCTCTGGTGCACCTTCCCCCTCATCCTCCTTTCTTCCACTGAGCTCAGTGTTTGCAAAGGTGTTTCCTTCACAACTCTTAACTCCTCCTCCCAGGTTCCCCTTCTTAAATACATTAGCACTATTTGTCTTGGCCTTGGCCAGAGACGAGTCTGACTTGGAGCTGGGGAAGTTCCAAGAAGCCTCTCACAGGGGCCATTGCTGTAGCCCCCTCCCCTCCCCCAAAAACCCCACCACACACAAACCCAGCACACTGGCCCAAGTGTTAAGGCAGGCTTAACCCTAGAGATAAAGGCTGGTTGGAGAACATCGTCATTCGCTTCATCTCACCTGACAGCTGCTTTATCCACAAGGGAAGTTTGCATCCATAGGTGGACCTTGCCAGTGGTTCCCCCTGGTCCAAAAATAGTCTTTTCCTTTAGCATGTGGATATTGTGTGGCATCCATGTCCATTCCCCTCTTCTGAAAACCCTCTGCCTGTCTTTCACCTGGTCTCCGGAGTAAGCACTCAGGTAGGAATGTTCGCATGCAGGTAGGCTTCTGAAATGCTGAAAAGATGAGAGAGTTCGGCCAATTACTCACCCTAAAGGAAACGGAAGAAAATCTCTAAAGATTCATTTTAATATACAAACAACCAACTCTCCTCTTTTAATCAGTATTCTTTGTAGCAGTTGTAGTAATGTCTGGTTTAAATATTGGGGGAGGAATTGTATTTGAAAAAATGGTCACAGCAAAATGTTTTTCCTGCACTTGTTTGTGTAATACTCTCCTAATTCCTTGCAAATAGACACGACATCATCTAAAGATATTTCCTACAAAATGTAATTACTTAGAATGAGGACCTTTAATGCAGATATTAAAAATCAATGACTGCTTTGTGTTTTCTTTAAATGATGCTGTTTGGCATTGTTTGTATTGTGTAATGCCTGCATTGCTCTGCTTTATTGTAATATGCTCTGTTTTTTCTCCTGCCACAGAACAAGACAAGTTTTCTGTCACTTGCTGACTTCTTAATGTATGTCCAAAAGATTTTTTATAAAAAGTGTATTTGGAGTCATATGTATGAATTTTCCACACTGCTAGTGTGGAAAAAAAACGAAAGCAAGGCAATAATCATAAGGTGCTATCATAGCTACTATATCATCTGTCTAAAACAGCTCTCATCAGCTAATCACAGTTCTTAAAAACCCTTGATTCTGGAATTGGTTTACATTTTAAGCAAGCTTGAATTTTCTTTTAAGAAATTTTAATTTTAATGTATATTATTTGCATTTTCCAGCAAGTTTCAAAGACAATTTAATGTACAC